TTTGGCTAAGCACTGGCATTATTGCAGTCACCATTGCTGCTGAGCTTTGGGCTACAAGGACAGTGTGTGCTAGTGCAGTGCGGGTTGGATTGAAATCTAATCATCATGTGGTGTGTTGCATGCCTTGCAGAAAGCAGGCCTAGAATGCTGGAGAACCTGTCTCAGTATGGGTACACAGGACCAAGCCTGGGTCCCGGATGTCATCATAAGTTGTAATTTGGATTAAATTACTGGCTAAAAACAGAAGCAAGCTGAAATGTTGAGCTGACACTTGTTTTTATAGCCTTCTGTACCACTGAAAATATTTCTGCAAGGACTGGCTTTCTTTTGTTTAGGAAATGTTTCACAGTTGTCAGTGTTCTGCTGAGAAAAGCTCTGTCAGCAGATGTGCAGTAGACAGCCGAGGACTTTGAACTAATGGCTGTCTGTTTTTTCTTGCGATATGACAGTTGTCTTCCTCCAAATGCAGACGTATGCATGTTGGTGCTCTGTTTATACACTGTGAATTTTGTAAGATATAGACTAAGAAAGCAAGCAGCTAATCATTTAAAACCTTAGAAAGGACCACCAGTAAACAACTATTGTCATGTGACCTTCTGGTGGTTCTGTTGAAGGATTATTATGGAATCCTGTGTATGCAATTGCAGATGGAACTGGCTATAGCGTGTTTATAGAACCTGTAAATCTCTGAATATTTGTTACTCATTGGAAGTTGGTTCAGGTTTCCTGAGAAAGTAGTCCCTGCTTGAACCATCCAGTTGTGTTGACTGACACCTGAAGTAGCTCCGCTAAAGTGCAGTTCTACCCACAAACCTAAAGCTTAAATTTTTTGGGTAATACTTGGACTTTAAAGTTCATTGTTTAGTAGGAGAAGCTTTCAGTGTGTAGAGGGAGCTGTGTGAAGTTGTATTCATGTCCTTATGTGTTGTCGCTGGAGTCACTGTCAAATGGAGGTGTGGGGGTGCAGAGTAGAAGGAGGTGGGACCTCTATAGCCCACTCCTCATATCTGCTTCAGGCTGCAGCTCTTCCATTAGCTGGTGCTAACAAACTCAAATTTAATGAGGAAGAAGAATGTGTTCAATAAAACAGGTGGAAGAAAATACAGTATCTCTTTCCTTTGACAGATATTCTTTATTGTCGCAGGAGGAACATTGTTTTCACAGTTTAACAAGAAAAACATGCAGATTTGTAAAATAAATATGCTTACATATACACTTTCATTTGATTTCTTGTTGTTCAAAGCACACTTCTAAGTCAGTGCAGTACTCTTTTTAAGCCCATCACATAATACTACTGTAACTCCATGCAATTGCTGTGTTGTCTTTCGAATAATATGATTGGTTTTACTAATCATATCATTAGCTTCTATTTTTTCCATACTCACCATGGTAATCCTCAGTTTGGCATCATTTCATGTTGTTTTTCAGAGACTTAGATTTTTCTCAAACGTCTGACCATTTTTCCAGTCCAGTGTTGCTAAAAAAAATCACAGAAAGAACTGTGATTTCCCAGACTTTCTTGGTGCTGTTTGCTTGAAAGCCCACAGGAAACTGTATTACAGAACCATTGTTGGGCTTTTTGTGTGCTACACCCTGGAGTACAGCATGCATCACAAAAGAGGACTCAGTAATAACACAGATACTGCTAAATTAGCTGTTGTACATTACTAAATTAATGCTAAGCCAAATTGTGACTGTGTTTAAAAAGCCAATAGCTGATGAAGTAGAAGACCACGTATGTATTTTATTGGTGAGAGATGCCATTACAGAACAGCCCTTAACAGTCAATAAACCAAAGGGCCAGATATGGCGCGATAAGATGAAGTATGACCTTATATCTGTTAGTGACACTTCAAGGGAAGTAAAACCTCCCATCCTGGTGGAGGTGAATCACACTAAGTGTGTAAAGGGTCTTTGGAGTCCAGTAAGATGACCCGAGCTTCCAATTACAACTATGACTCTTCAGCAAACGCTCAGTTTTTACCTTGGTTTTGTCAGGTTACTGTACCAACCGATATGTTAAATATTAAAACTGACTCCAATGAGAAAGCATAACTTATTAACACACTTATTATAATGTAAATAAATCACTTTTGGCAAAGATTTATCAACATTGCAGCCTTTAAGGTTTGTTAACAATGTTCTTGGTTTGTGTTTTACCTATGCTAGTGAGATTCTCTAGGAATGGCAATATCTGTTTATTCGTTGGTCAGTTCAGTTATTTTTGTTTTGTGCTAATTAACAACTGTTTGCACACAATTAAGACAGAGAACATGATAACCATTATGCCTGCTAAATATCAGCATATTAACACAGTGACAACGCTACTATGCCGATGTTTTGATGGTGATGTAGCTCAAAGCACCACTTTGTAGACTCTTGGTAGACTAAAGACTCTTAGTGCAGTTCTACCCACATATCATCCAGCCCTGCTGGGCTGCACTCACACACTCACCACTAATTATGAACAAGAAAAGTGAAAAGTCAGTGAAACCTTTGGGTCTTTTGTCTTAGGCAGGTTTAATAGAGAACCACTCGGCATTGTCAAAAGGCTGACTGTCATTCATCTGCAAGATCATACCTGTCTTTATAATTACTCTGGTGTCCTGTCCCCACATTTGTCTTTGAACACCAGAGTAATTATAAAGACAGGTAAAGCAACAAAATATAAATGGTCTTATTCTTGTATATCGCTTTTCAGCACACTCAAAAGCGCTTTCACACTACTTGGCCATTCACACTCACATGTTATCACCGGGAGCAACTGGAGGTTCAGTGTCTTGCTCAAAGACACATCGACATGTTGACTGGACAAGCCAGGAATCGAACCGCTCATCCTCTGGTTAGGAAACAACCCGCTCTACCTCCTGAATCACAGCCACCCCCCATATTAAATATCTGTTAAAATTTGACAGCCCTTAAGGACGTTGAGCTGAACACGCAGATGTATTTATTTATTTCTATTTTTTTTTTGCAACACCAGAGATCCCAGTTAATCAAAAGTTTCTCTGGTCTCCTTAGTCACAGCTGGTCACTAGATAACTGTCCTTTTTCCTAGAGTTTGCTGCAGGTCCAAACCCTAATCTGCAATTGAAATGGGAGAAAGCCTTTTGCACTGTTTTTATAGCTTTTGCTATAAAGCTAATGGTTTGCTGAGAAAACGACTTTTGCTTGTGCACAGAGAACAAAACGTTTCTGGGTTGTTCAGTGCCAATTCGGAACAACAGTGAGATAATTAGGTCATTTGATGTGATACTATTTTGTATCTCTGAGAAGGGACACAGCCACAGAGACGGACATTGTTTTTCTGGGAAGGCTTTGTTTACCACTGCTCCTCCATTAACAACTGTCTTTAAATCAAGCCTGCTTTAGTGGGAACAAAAACACTTCCATGGGTTTTTCTCCACTCTCTGGCACCATGACATCACTTAGACAATATTTGTTTAGCAGACTTTCAGAGCAGATAAATGCCTTCAGTCTTGGTTTTTATGCTTGTCATTGTGAAAGAAAGTTTCTTTTGTTTGAACAAATGTGAATATAACCGAAGAAGATGAAGCAAATAGATTAAACAAAGAAAACCTTGGAGCAGATGTGGGAGAGAGGTGACTGAGATGTAATGAACATGTAGAAGCCTATGGTGCACTGAGCAGCAGAGACACTTTAGAGATAACAGATCCTGAACGGCGTTTAGTGTTGAGCTGGGTTTTGGTGTTACTGAACAGTATACCCATTTTTTCTAATGGAAAATCCATCCAACCTGTCCGTAGAGCTACGTGCTACATCATGTGTTTTTTATTTCTTCTTTTTGCTCTTCTATACATATGAATATGATTGACTTCCTGTTGACTCTTTTCTAGTACATTAAGTAAATAATGTACATTAATGACCCATAAGAGGAACAATTGAGGACACACAAGGTTTTGGTTCTAGGTTCTGTACTTGTTTTTTCACTGTGTTTTACCATCATGAATACATGGCACTGAAATGGTCACACAGCTTCACATGCAAAGAGCAACATCTTCATGCTGTTTGGTAGGCAGGTGCATTGCAGGTGTGGGACAGACAACCAGAGAGAGACCAAAGGATCACTTGACTGAGAAAGAAAGTCACCTTTGGCTTTTCCCGTTTAGGGCTCACCACAGTGAGTCGTCACACTGACGACTCGCATGTTGACATTTGGCATGTGTTTTACGCCGGATGCCGTTCCTGACTTGAACCAGGCTTTAACCACTAGCCTACCAGGGGCGGCGATCACTTTACTGAGAAATGGCATTGATCTAGTGGCATTCTCCCCAACACTGTGCAAATGATCGACAGTTTTCACATTTAAATGCACGACATGGCAGCAAAATATTTGTGGTTTGCTATAATTAAGTTGTATGTTTTTGTGTTGGTCTCCTCATTGTATGTATAAAAATATTTCATAGAAATTTTTAACCATAAAGGCAAAATGCAAATGCTGAAAAAGCTTAGAAGAAAACATTACGCCCACAAGTTTTTATAACATACTACAACCTGGATGATTGAGAATTTACATGGGCAAAATGCAAAAAAAAGTTTGTTTTTGAATGAAAACCAAAAAAAGACTTTGTTTTAGAAAACAGCCCATCTGATTGAGAACTCTTTCTTATAGCACAACTGAGGTTGTAAAGGTGTAACTAGTACAGAAGCCAGGTGTTCATGTAATTGTGTTCAATGCTAGCACAGATGCTAGCTATGGCAGCCCCTCCATCTTAATCCTTCAAGATGTGGGCAGTCAGCACTATCCACTTGGACCGCACAAATGTAGTTGTCTTATACAGTATCTGTTTTCAGACACTCCCGTCAGTGAATCATGTTTGAATGTGTCCTCGTTTTCTTTGTTCCTTTTTTTTCTTAATGTAAAACAGATCAGTACTATGTTTAAAAACTCCCTCAGTTTTCTTAGTCACCATGTGACTCACTTTTACTCGAAAATGATTGTCTAGTGCTCAAACCGCTCTCTCCTGTCTGTCTTTCAGTTGTCCCTCGGGGATGAACAGTGTGAAGTGACACGGAACAGCTATGAGTCTAAGGACCTGGTGTACTTGGTTCATATTTACTGCCAGGTAAGATGATGTTCTTGACTGTGTTTGACACATACAATACCTAACCTCCCACTTGTTCTTGACACATACAATACCTAACCTCCCACAACACAGGCTCCACTTCATCTGAAAACACACACACAGAGGATGTGCAAAAATGTGTTCACGCTTTCAGCTTTTCTCTACAAACAGAAGTGGCTTTCAACCCACAAATGATGGTTCAGTACAACCTGTACAAATGTCCAGCACACACCTCCCTGTGAGCGGAATAGCTGGCTCAAATTCAGACATTTCTGAAACACCTAACTTATTGTTTCAAAACTCCAAGTTATGTGGGAATTTGCAACTGAACTGAAAAGAGCTGTGGATGAATGCCAGGACGGGTGAGTGATTCTGAAGAATGCTAGGTAGAGAAGGCCTCAGAGTGTGAATTCGTGAAACCCTGAGCTTTTACCAAGCACTGTACACATGCTGACTTTGGCTGCATTTTTTGGATTTAATTGCTTATGTTGGTTTCTTAGAAAATATGTTGCAATGTTTTATGTTTAGATGTTTCTGTGTCATCACTGGAACATTTAGTCAGTCATCACAATAGCTATTGGTGGCAGTTTCCATCCAAATATTTCTTTTTCTTTATTGTTGTGGGCAAATCCTTATGAGGTTTTCCCTTTATTTGTCTTTATTTATTTGTTTAGTTTTATTGGAGAGGTCTTGTCAAAGCAGAACAAGTTGGCTTGGTCATCCTCAAAATTCCTTTTTAAGGAGAGATGTCAAACTAACAGCCAGTTTATTTATACTTCATTACATATAAAGTTTTGCAAGAAATCTGATTACCCAAATTTAAGCAGAACCTTGAAGCATTACACACATATGGACAACAGCTGCTCAGAAGCTTTGCCCCAGCCTCCTCCAATGACCGTTTTTATTTGGCTTTCATGCATATCCCTCTATAGATCGTATTCCATTTACACGACCTTGGCAATACCATACAAGTATGTGGCTGAGTACGTGGAAATTCCAACTTCTCCCAGGCACCAGAAAACGGCTAAAAACTGGCAAAGAGTTGGCCTTGAGTTTTTCACTCAGTTCTTTAAACAGAGAAAGTAGCACAGCAAGATTGGTGCGGTTCCACAGACCCAGAAGGAGGGGTAACTAGAAACCCCATCTGAAAATGGGACAGGAAGGCATAGAGTTCCCTGAGTCCACAGAGCCCTCCCATCACTATCTCTTCTAGCCAGTACTTTCCAAACAGCACTTAAATCAGTGGCCTGAGTAGTGCACTGTAGTTGTAGTCGCACAAGCCCTGGCCTCAGTACAGAAGGATCTTTCTAGGCCAAATCAAAGTAAAGTTTTTCTCAGTGGGGTTTTGAGGTTTGGCTCCCCATCTTACAGGATGAAAAAGAAACAACAAATCCATGGCATTACTTAGATTTTTTTTAAAAATAAAGTTAGTTAATGTGATAGATTTAGAGTAAAATTCTCCATTTTGTTCTTTTACTATGTGTAATCACTGCATTTTGCTAAGAAGGGCTGAGCAAGCCATTGCTGTTTTTTGGTTTTGATGACAATGAGAAAAAAAGAAGAATCAGCACTGTGAGTTGATCAAGGCTTTAGTGGGATTTTATTTACATTTAGACAGAGGTTTTTGGCTCTTTTTGTAATGTATCCACAAAGTTCAGCTACTGGCAGCAGTTTTATGTACTGTAGTACGTAAGATTGATGGTAACGTGTTAAAGTCCTAGATATCTTTTCAATACTAATATTATAAACTTAATTTATATATCACTTATTTACTGTGAGTTACAAGGTGCTTTCCAACAGGCAATAATCAAAGTATTAAAATTGTTAAAGGTAGATGGAATCATAAAAACACTGAAGTGAAACCCATCAAATAATCAAAGACTTTCTTCTGAAAGTTGCAATATTTTGTGTAGTGTTCTGTGACAGTTGGAGCTGATGGAGGCAGCTGTGACTGATATCAGAATGTTATTGAATGTAAGATGGTAATGAAACAGATCAGGTGGCTAACTCCTGAACATGAGATATTCTGTCTGGTGGAGGAAACTTTTACTGATCAGCATCTACAGTTTGTGATTCCACAGATGCGGCAGGTCACTAAGTTAATTCATACCCATTCGTCTGTCTTTTGCCTTATTATTTACTTTTTATTCATTGATGAAAAATGTAAAACATTTTGTCATAGTTCTTATCAAATGTTACTTTATATTTAGCATTGGTTTTGTGTCTGTCCTGAAAAATAGGTCATCAACAAATATTTTTCATCGCAGTTTTCATTAACAAATTTAACACCACTCGTGTTTTCACTAACCAGTTGAAAATAAATTCAATTTTTTTCTGCGAAAAATATTTGGTTCATAATCTGCTAAATGCTCCATGCCTCACTAGCTATAGTTGCTTACTTCATTCACTGAAAACAGCTGCCCACAGCTGGAAACTATGCTAAAGAGAGTGTTGACAGGGAACCAAAACAGTAACGCTGTGGGGTTTAAAACCAAAACAATGGGCTGGATGACACTAAAGTGCTCTATAGTGCTGAGGGACACTGTCAAGTCAGGCAAGAATTATTTGTGAGTTTGTCCTTAAAAGCAACCCCTTACTAGTCGTGGTCCATCTGTAAAATAGAAATGATGATTATAGCACTTTATGGCTGACAAAAAGCTAGAATTGCTCGTTTTCAGAAACGTAGCAGTGTCTTCTATATGCCACTGCCTACCTTAGTGGAAGTATGTAAATTGACAGCCGCAGTGGGCCAAGACAGGACCTTTGGAGGACACCACAATGTAACCGACTTACAGAGGAACAAGAGTCTGCTGTTACAACAGAGAAGACTGACTTTGTAGAAGATTTTTTGTAGTGACCTAAACTATAACATGTAACTTTTTCAGTTTAATCAATTATTACATGACTTTACAAACTTGTATTTCATCATTTTTATAATTCTTCCTCAAGTAGTTGACCTCTAAAAGGTTGCAGAGGTTTCTTGTAAACAAGGTCTACACTGGCTCTAAACCACATTGTGTGTGTCATTCATGTGGTTTGAAAACATTCCCTAATGCATCTCCTTTCTCATTAAATAATCACAAGGCTATTTTAATCCTGCATTGTTTTCATGTATGCTGCCTTGTTCTGTAGTCCTCACTGCCTTAGCCGGTACATTCTTAGTGCACATCATAGCCACCTGCAGATCACTGGAATACTGTGGCAGGACTGTGCATATTCATACACACATATATGTTCATCCTTGTACTTGCAAGCAGAAAACATGTTGGAATATCTAAGCCAAAAGGCAAACTATAAGCAAATCTTAATGTTGTGAAATAGATCATATAAATTTGGGATCTTCTTGCTTTTGTTTGTCTTGCTGCCTGCTGTAAGGTCCTCATATGTTGGATGCTTCCACTGGCACCTGAATGCACCGGCATAGTAGAGCCTTCAAAACTATCCCACAGAGATGCAGTTAGTTGATTATGATAATGTACTGAAATTAATAGAAACCAGTTACTGCCTGGAAGGCAGGAAATGTGCTCATCAGGCTTAATCTGTTTTGTTTTATTGTTTGTTTGTTTTTTTTTTTAGAAACACTTGGCACCAATTTTGAGTGCACAAAATGTGCATTACCCTTGATCCATAATGCGTTTCTCTCTCACAACTAGAATATCCTTCTAAAGTGTCTGTAACACCCCCATCATCCTGAAACATTGTGTGTCCTGTCACTCTGATTGTGGATCACTTATTTTGAATTGCCATCCAGTGTTTCCTATTTTCATGTTTCCGTTGTATTCTGTGGATTTTAAGAATACAGCAGTTGGTTTTTACTCCTCCTTCAGTTGATTGTTGCAGCTAACCGAGGGTTGTGTTTTCAGTAAAGTTATTGCAAACAGGGGTGGCAATTCAAACATTCTTTTTGAGGCACCTGTTCACAGGGTGTTTATTGGACAGCATTTTATTTTCCCCTGTTTAAAAACTATCAACGTCAGTCAAACTGCTGTTCACACCGAGCTGTTTAATCAGCCACTGTGTTTTCTGTCTTTGTTCTCTTTCTGGTTACACTCACATTTCTGTTGTCCTTTTGAAGGGTCGAAGCTGGATTGTGAAACGCAGCTATGAGGATTTTCGTGTCCTGGACAAGCACCTGCACCTCTGCATCTATGACCGACGCTTCTCACAGCTGCCCGAGCTGCCTCGATTAGACAGTCTGACTGATCAGTCAGAAGTAAGCAGTGAAGGCACACATCTACGTACACATGTCGCATGTTCATCACATTTTAACTTGACATTAATGCTGGCAATAAGTTAAAGATTATTAAAATACCCTTTTTCATGTATAGTATGGAAAATTTATATTCATTTAGAGGTTTGGGGATCCTTGCTTTGCTTAAATCTCACACAGTAGTGTTTGAACCGTCACTGAATCATCCAGTGCTTAAACAGTCCCTAAATTAAATGAATGATAGCACACTGTATGTTGTCCATACACTTTTAAAATAGAAGATAAGGTATCAGTTTTCTAGATAAAAGCTATTCCAATTACTGTGCTTTGATACAAGATTTACATGGCTTATTTTTTGGGAATCCATACTTTGATATTTTGCCAGTTACTTCCTACCCTTTGTTTTAGTGTCCACATCAGCTCAAATTTGCAGATGCAGTGCACCAAAAAACTATTAAACTAAATTTGCCTTGTAATATGAAGTCATAGCTACAAATGTCATTTCAAGTGCTTTACTACCATGCAGCAGTTTTAGCTACCTAATTATGTGCCTTTGTCCCTCAACAAATATATGTACATAACCCAAGGAGCCACAGACTTTTAGTGGTAATTAATAATAAAGCTAGAAGGCATCTTTATCTGAAATTACCCGTTGTAGTAGCTAGGTTTCATATTCTGTTCTTTAGTAGTGGACGATTACAGTCCTAAATGGTACTATCCCAAGTCGGTATAATGAGCCTACCTGGCCTGTCTGTGTGTGTCTGTGTTTTGTTCCATGATAGTCAGTTTCCCAGATGTTGTTAGCTTACCTCTCCCGCCTCTCGGCCATTGCTGACAACAAGATTAACTGTGGGCCTGCCCTCACATGGATGGAGGTAAGGCCATGTCTTGTCTCTTTAAGGAGTACACTAACTCTTTGGCAGGGAAAATATAGCTTCTCAATTGAGAGGAAGGCTTGAATAGGGGGGATCTGAAAGTGTATGCTTCACAAAGAGCGTGAAAGATGGAAGATGAAACAGTTTTTAAAGAAAAAATATATTATTCTCATTAAGTCTTTTCCAAATAACACATTTGCTTCAAGAAATACACAAAAATAAGTAGACAACTAAAGAGTGTAGATCAAATCATGGACCTAGGCCATACAGTGTTCTACTATATGCTATGAAAGAAAGCCTTACTATAATTACAGAATAACAATGCATTACTGCAGGGTTACTAGATTTTTTTCACTTATCCTAGCTATTTAATTCTTCTCATCTGCAAACATATTTGAATAAGGAGGTAGAAAAAGAATGACTGATTTTACTTTGAACTATAGATGTTCCACTTAGCACATTTTCTCTTCTGACCATATTTTTAACAACCTCAGAAATAGCTATCGGGTTTAAGCAAAATCTGAAGCTCAATAAAAACAATATTGTGCACTTCACCAAACTGACTTTTTATTGTATGATGATTACACTCATTCAAGCTCGTGCTATTTTTCAGTATTTTGTCTAACCCCCGTTAAGTCTTGTCTGTGTGTATGCATTAGGTTGACAATAAGGGGAATCATCTGTTGGTCCATGAAGAGTCATCCATCAATGTGCCAGCAATTGCTGCTGCCCACGTGATCAAGCGCTACATCGCCCAGGCCTCAGACGAGCTGTCCTTCGAGGTGACAACAACACACACACTCCCTCTGTCTCTGTAGACCTACAGATATTACATTAGAATTTGTCCATCTTGTGGGAGAAAGCCGGAGAACAGGGGGAGAACCCACGCAGGCACAGGGAGAACGTGCAAACTCCGCACAGAAAGGCCCCAGGTCGGCCGAGGCTCAAACCCAGAACCTTCTTGCTGTGAGGCGACAGCACTAACCACCATTCCTCCCTGTATTAGAGTTGTGCCTCACCTGCACCACTATGCCTCACAGATGTTTCCTTGTATGATGTTGGTTGCTGCTTATAAAGAATTTGTAACATTGAACATGACAGTAAGAAGTGAAGGAGAAAAAAAACCAAAGGAGCAATAAAAGGTGTCTTTTGCAATACACATGTTCACTGTGCACGTTTGGCAGCTGAGTAGATAGCTGAAGTTATTAGACATCAAAGTCAGGAAAAACCAGCTTGTTTGGAACAATCCTTAATAGGGATGGTATCATTTGGATTTTATCGATACTGATACTGTTTATCGATACTTATCCATTCTCTTATTGATACTACTCTCCATAATTTGGTGCAAATGTAAATATATTGAAATGTGAAAAGATTCAATATTGTTTATCATTACTTTTTTTCAGAAATAATCTGGTACTATACTGCTAATCTTGTGAGGAAAAAAATAAAAAATAAGAACAGAAATAACATCGATTATCTAGGCTACTGTTAACACATGACTGCATTGTTTTGAACACTAGACTATAATGTGATTACTGTGATGTAAAAAATTTAATTAGGACTTTGACAATTTTTTTACTGTGTGGTACTTTATCTCCTACCCCAAGATCACTAAGTCTGTCCCTGAGACTGTGTGTTTCTGAATGGCAGGTCAGATGGCACTCCACAGTTTATGAATGCACCCATAACAATCCACTGGCAAATGGTTACTTGTAATCAATAATCCATGATCATAGAATTTAGTTAGCTCTGTGCGCGTGCTCCAGGCTGCTAGCGTGCATAACATACCTGGACAATGAGAGATGAGCTACAAGCTAGACACACATAAACTGTGCATTTCTCTGCCTGTATATTGCTCACATTTTTTTCCTTACACGGAAAAGACTTGTTGCAACAAGCATTGCCAGTATTGACCCTAGTGAAATGTAAACACACACAGGGAACCATGGGGGAAGATGCCCCCAGGGCCATTTTACCCCTAACTCCTTGGGGGCATCTTGCCCCAGATGTGAATTTTTCACATATCATTAAATCTGAGATATGCCCAGTTTATATTTTGTACCAAACAAATACCAAGCTCTGCCCATGAATCTCCTCATTGTATTAGTTTTGTGTTTTTTTGTCTGCCTTTGTTAAAACATATAATTCCAAATCAGAAAATGCCGGGACGGTATGTAAAATCAAAATTTAAACTGAAAATAGTGATGTGTAAATCATCTGTGACCTGTATCACATTGAAAACAACACAGCAGCACATTATTTGATGTGACACCTCATCAGTTTTATTCTTTGTTCAAAATAAACAGTGACTTCAATCCTGATGCTGCAACACATTCCAGATTTGGGACAGTAAAGCATTTTGTTTCTGTTCCTTTTCACAACACTAAAGGACGTTTAGGGACTGAGGACACCAAGTGATTCAATGTGTCAGGTGTCATTTTGTCCCATTCCTCCTGTAAACTAGTCTTCAGGTGTCCAACAGTCCTGGGTCTTCGTTGACACAATTTGTGTTTCAAAATGTGCCACACATTTTCTACTGGGGACGGGTCGGGACTGCAGACAGACCAGTCCAGCACTCACACCCTTTTCCTCCACAGCCAGGCCTTGGTAATGTGGCAGGATGAGGTTTTGTGTTGTCTTGTTGAAATATGCATGGACGTTCCTGGAAAAGATGTCGTCTTGAAAGCAGCATATGTTGCTTCGACATCTCTGTGTATTGTTCAGCATCAATGGGGCTATCACAGAAGTGTAAGTGACCTTTGCCAAGAGCACTGACACAACCCCAGACCAAGACAGACCCTCGGACCATCTTTGCTCCTAAAGGCCTTTCCTGGATGCCACTTCTGTACCCAGTCATGATGCAGTCACCTGTTGGCATCACCTGTTTCAAATGGAATCATCATTTCATTGTTTTACCTCAGTACTGGCCCTGAAATGCAAGCGTCCCAACTATTTTTGGAATGTGTTGCAGCATTAGAATTGAAGTGAGTGTTTATTTTGAACAAAGAATAAAACTGACGAGGTATCACATCAAATAATGTGGCTGTATTGTTTTCAGTGTCATACAGGACACAGATGATTTACGCATCACTATTTTCAGTTTTAATTGCGATTTAACATACCGCCCCAACTTTCTCTGATTTGGGGTTGTATACACACTTATATCCTAAGAAGGAAAAATCAGATCACGTTACCTCAAAATCTTATGTTGTGCAGAATTCAGCAATAGAAACCTTTAAACTGAACCTTTAAAACTTAAAAAAAAACAGTGGACATTTGGGGACATAGTGAACACAAAAACATTAGTTTTGCTGATATTTGGTGGCCTTAGGTAGAGTTACATGTGGGTGGGCATCTTCCCCCGTGTTACCCTACTGTACTGTGGTTGTGTTCTGTAATTAAGTGCGCCATGTGTGTGTTGCATGGTGCTGCAGTGTGTGAGACGGAACTGCCCCGCCGCTCTCACACAAGCTTGAGCCTGTATTAATCAGTAGCGGAGTTGGTGGGATAAAATGTGCAAGATAACTTTTATGTAGCAATGATAAATGACTTCTCCAGTACCAAAAGCAGAACTGATAGCATCGTGGCTTATTGATGCTTCGATATTTAATAACTCAGCACTGGTTCCCCTTTAATACCGGCGTTCAGTACCCATCCCTAATCCTTAATGAAATCATGCTCTTGCAAAAGTTAAAGCCTTGCAGTAGCATGCCTTCAGTTTTAGCTGCTTCCCTGAGGTAAAGGGACAACCTGACATGTCTTTAATCTTCTTTGTTTCCACCTCTTGTTGCTCTCTGCAGGTTGGTGACATTGTATCAGTGATTGACATGCCCCCTAAAGAAGACACCACATGGTGGAGAGGCAAGCATGGCTTTCAGGTAAACAGCTCACTAAACACTTTGCAGCCTAGGGGACAAAATCACACACATGCACACTTTTTCTCTTTATTTTCCCCAGACTGTAAATTTTATATGATATTTATGCATGAAATATTTCAAGGACAAGGACAGAATAGTGCTTTGGAAAGCAGATTTCAAATGTTCAGTTTGCTGATGGACAAAGCACGTTACAAATCCTCCTTATGTGAAGCTTTTGAGCAGATTACAGGGTGAGTTCTTCCCCCTGTTGCACTGAGCTGGTTTATATTCCTTCAGGCTCTCAGTCCATCTTGAAACTAGTGCTGTTCAAGACTTTAGTTACAAGTCTGTCTTAAACCAGTGCTCACATGCCCCATGAAACTTGTAATCATTCCTTTCCAAGCATGACTTCAAATGAAAGTGATGGAGAATCAAATCCACATTCACTGTTCTGTGCAAAAATACGTTCCAAAGTTTATATTACGTTTATGAGACTTTGAGTGTCCGAGTTAGACAAATCTATGTGTACTTTCCAAAATGACAGCCTCTTTAGTACACAGATTCATTTTGTGTTATTATTCCTCCACTGCAGCTCAACATGGAAACACTGTCTGGGAGGACAAAGCAAATGCTGTACTAAAAGACTCTAACATGGACAGATATTCACTTAATTTATCTACCCCAGGCCTGACATGTCAGACCTCTGTCCTTGTGTTTCTCTTTCTCTTTCTCTTTCTCTTTCTCTTTCTGTGTCCTTCTGCTCTCCTTCACAAAAAGCATCAGCACATCTACCCCAGGAGCTGGCTGTGTAATGAGCTACAGCCTCAGTAAATCAGGAGCTTAATACATGCAGACTGCAGATGTTAATTTGAAAATGCACAAGTCTTTAAACTGTGGTCGAGTAATGTCAGAGTGAAACGCTTTTTGTTTGTCACTGCCATTAATGTAAGATACTACTGTTCATTTTTAGGTATGTTCAGTATTAAAGTCTAGTGCAGGAAGTCCATTAGTTCCATCAGAAGTGTTTTCAGTGTAGCAACAAAGCCTGTTTATGAGGCTCAAGTCTGGCTGAACCTCCTCTGACCTGCTGCCCCCTCTCCTCTAGTGTGTTTTGGCACTGCTTAAGAGAAGTAGTCCTGCCATTCAGGCTGGCTGGCAGGGTGGCAGTCAGTAGGCACTTACTGGTCAGATCAGCTATATTTCAGACAAGTTGTCAGTGGCTGGAAGTCGTGCCCTCCTCTGGTTTTACAGAGCTTCTCCTTCACACGTCCACATGGAGAGGCTATTTTTCCACTGATAGATGTTGACTGTGAGCCCACTGATTGCCTGCAGCTTGGAAACTCAGCTCTTATTTGTATCAGATCTACACTTTCTTGATTCACAATAAGGCAGGCTTAAGCTCAAACAGGGCACGTGTTTCTGAGCAGCAAATGCAGCGAGTGCTGTGACAAAAACAGCTACAGTACCTCTTCCCTCCAGTGGGAGGCAGTCCATCAGTGATATCAAAAGTGGTGTGACTTTGTGCCACTTTGTTATACCGTACAGTGTCGAGTCCAGGTCTTGAAAGGCAGAACACAGCTGCACCTCGCTGTAGTTCTGTTCCCAAGAGGAACAGTTATGATCTGCTCTCTCATGTGTTTGTAATGTGTAGACAAAAACATATGCAGAAAACAGAAAGCACTGAATAGTAGGTGTAAAGCAACTACAGAACACTGAATTCATCTGATTAGTTATCAAGACATTATGTGTAGAATAATATAAAAATAAGATTATTCTTATTAAGGTCAGCAGGTTCGGGCAATGTTACATTCCATTCACAGCTGGAACAACCAAACAAGCCCTCTTCAGTCTTGTTTAGTCTCATTTTGGAGGAGGAACCAAACACACATTCACTACATGCCAGTAATGTGGTTATTTCTAGTATCGCCTGATCAGTAAATGCCCAAACCAAGTCATAAATGTCATTTGTCACAGTTCTTCTGGTCCCAGAATCACATGACTAATATGACACCCACACCTCAGTGTAGCTACTGTGCAATGTTTCTTTATTTTGTTATTTCATTGTACTTCCTCCCACCTCGCCCTACCGCTCTCACTGCTGTTCTTGTTCCAGGTTGGCTTCTTTCCCAGCGAGTGTGTTGAGCTCATAAATGATAAAGTGCCGCAGTCTATGACCAACTCAGTGCCAAAGCCAGGTAATCCTCCTCCTCTTAAACCTTTCACAGGAAATGTGTTGGAGGGAAATTTTCACTGGGGGCAGTTAATGTCTCACTGATTATGGCTGCACTTTGAGGAAATGAGACCTGTGATGGATGAATTAGCTCAAGGTGTGTGTGTGTGTATCTGTCCATGCTCAAAAATATTACTGCTGGTCTGACAAATTTGTTGCATAAAGTGTGTAATTTTTATATAAAACCATAACCTTACAGCAGATTTATAGTATAATATCACTACCCTGTTATTTCATCACTCATTTAACAATGAGTTAAAGGCAGTGGAGTATAAATACTGCAGTATAAATACTTGTTTTATACCTCCAGACCCCTTTCCTAATTTGATGCAGTTTGGAGAGATAAGCCTAGCTTGGAACTGAAATTGAATATACATAGTCCTGAAAACCCATCATTCTAACACATCATCTTCTGAAATAGCTCAATAAGAATGTTATTCTGACTTCCTACCTTGCAAATCCACTGCAAATAACTGCTAAACATCTGCCACCCAAAGTTAACAGATAAGCTCTTAGGCAAGCTCTAGTTCCAAGAGTGTCAAAGACAAATGTATAACATAAACCCTCTTGGAATCAAAGAGAACTTGTCGACTGCAGAACAGACTTGAGCTGAACTTGAACTTGAGCTACACTGAGCACACTGAATTACTGCAGCTGCCACTGAAAATAGCAGGTCATGTCATGTCGCTGTGATCGAGCCCTTTTGTTCAAACCTCAGTGTTTTTTAGGAATCCCCATGACAGGTTCCAATCCAGAAACTGATTGAACCAGTATGACTCGCTGTCACAGCCATCCAGCTGCCTTTGGGCTGGGTGAGCAGAGCCAGGGTTCCTAACCATCGAAAGCCTGGCACTCCAGAGTCTGGTTTAAGTGATGACACAGCAGCCTCACAAGATCCACAGTTATGGAGGAGGGGGTATCATTATAAGCACAGGGTCTCTGGCACTGTTGGGCGCCCTTGTTATGTGATATGCCAGTCAAGTCTCAAACCCCTAGTGTTGGAGCTTTTCCCATTGTGTGACTAGTCATAAATGCATACTGCAATGTAGAGTTAACTGTTGTAGTGCATGTACAGCACACACCACAGTCCAAGGTTTGTCTCAGACTGGCTGCCCACTCACTGCTTTTGAGCTGTGTTTGCTGCTTTTCTGGTTGGATTTTTGCATGTGTCCTTATTAGTCAATCATGCATTTTTAGTTTTTACAGAGTATCTGCAGATCAGGTTTATTATTTAAATATCCTGAACGCACTAAACAAGTCATCTTTTTCTCTTGAATTGTCCTTCTGTCTATGCATATCATTGTAGTCACAGTCGGCTGTGTTTAATCAGATATGTCAGTAGCTTTTCAAATAAGTCTTTTGTTATATTCTACACAGCAGTAACTAAATCTAATATTTGGTTTTATAAAACCTGCATATCCCCTGTTGTCTGTAATATTACCATGACGTAATGAGCTGATCCTGTTTTAAGTTCATTATCAGTGGCAGAACAACTGCCCAAGTGTTGAAACTGCCTGTTTCCATGTCAGAACTGCACTGTTTGTTCTCCACTGACTCACTACATCTTAAATAAGGTTATTGTCTCAGTGCACACGGATGTACACTAGTATTTGCATGTGTCGTGATTTGTTACATTTGACTGTGACTCCTCTACCTCAGCCTCCCCCTGCTCTGGCCTGCAGCCTGCTTCTTGGAGTCTCTTCCCCCCCTGTGCGTGTTTGGTATACACACTTCATCTACCCCATCCACTCACCCCAGCCCTTACTCACTCACCCACACACAAACATATGCAATTTGGAATTTGTATAGAGTTGTGATGATATTAGCTCAAGTTATAATCCTTAAGATAGATTTAGTCCTGGTTGATTTGGAGACACCAGTGGCTAGTGTTACAGTAGATAGTAGGGCGGTTTAATACTACAGGAGACAGCAAACACTCATTTAGCAGTTACAGTAATTAGTCATAAATCTAGCAGAAGCTCTATTGTTGTATCTGTGTACAGTGAAGCCGAACAAACGTGTTGATAACTGGCCTTTTCTGGTGGTGCAGTAGCACTTCATATACTACACACGATAAGTCACTTCCTGACACATTTATAATTGATGTAAAAAGTGCCCAACATGACTGTTGTTGATGCATATTGATGAGTTCAAACTTCTTGTGACAGTTGGTTGGTATTAGCAGGACCTTAATACACAACATCAATACCTGATACCAGTGAAATAAAACAGTACCTCTGGATTATATGCTATGCCATTTCCTGTCTGCATATGCTGTTTTAATTCTGTAAGGAGGAGAATGAAAACTATGATATAGAGAGATAATTACAAAATATAACCATATTAAAAAGCTATCACTAAGAAAATTGTAGACCATAAATTGTAATAAAAATGGGCTTTGAAAATCTTAAGGACTATAACTTAAAAATGTATTGAAAAAGACTTGTTTTATTAATGAATGCAGTGTTTCTAAAATCGGGCAGGCCTCAGTTCTACAGTGTTTACACCAGCGGTGGCCAATTCCAGTCCTTGAGGGCCGCTGTCCTGCTTGTTTTCCAACTATCCCTGCCTGAGATACCAGTTCACTTTATCTTTCCTCACTCCACTTTCATCTAAGATGGTATCTTCCAGCTTCTGACTGACTTGAACACACCTGAGCCAGGTAGTCAGCAGCAGGTCAGGCAGGGATAGTTGGAAAACAAGCAGGACAGCGGCCCTCGAGGACTGGAATTGGCCACCGCTGGTTTACACTGTCCGACTAAACGCTTGCTCTAGCATCATAGTATTTCTGTATGAGGCTTCTGACCTCAGTCCCAAAGTGCACAGTTGCCCTGTTTTCTAACTTGAAGTGCTTCTCTCCCTCTGCTGATTCTCTCATGTCTCCATCATCCGTCCATCCATCTGTCTGTTGGTCCATCTGTCCACTGGGCCGCATGCAGACTTGGAAATGGAGAGTGTAATACAGGAAAGTGCATGGGAAGCCGACCCGCTAAACCACTACAGCCTAAGTTCAGGTAGACAAAAGCTGCTTGGTGTGTTGCACTGCTGCTCCCTAACCAAAAACTAACTCCACAGCCCAGAGGGATGTGTTACTGTGTGACTCTAAAACAACTACTCTGTGGCAGTATAGCATGGGTTATAGCTTGACTCTTCACGCAAAAAGTATTGTTTTATTACAAAAGCAGAACCTTTCACAAACTGAACTGTCCTGTCTACGACCTGTAACACACTTATCACATTATCTCTACGCTCTGCCTTTAGGCACATCATGCAGTATGCACCAGTAGTAGAGCATGTATAACACAGCAATACAAGAATAAGTCTTTGTCCTGTGTGTGTTTGTGTCTAAACTTTCTTTCACTTGAATTGCTCTAAACTCCTCTATGACATGGTTTGGTAATTGCCATATTTCTCTCTAACTCATTTAACACTCCTTCAAAAAGATTTTTTACTGTAAGATTCTTCTTATCCTACTGCTTGTATTATAGGTATGTTAAAGTCAGAATGAATGGCCCTGACTCATTTTGCATGGCAACTGTCTGTAAAAGAAAAAAAAATACAATACACAATATTGTGAGGGCAGATGCATCGAGGTAATGATGCATTCCCATTTGTCAAACCCAATTTTTTTACTTTCAGAAGAGAACAATCGTTCCAATCCCATGTGCTTTTTCTGTTGTGGCCCCTTAAGGTGTATGCAGATTACTTCAGGGGTGAGCCAGGTTACTTCAGCATTTCTCAGAGCTGCTGAATGTGCCCTGTGTATGGAGGAGGGCCAGCTGTGTTTGTGTGTGTCTGTTTGGTTGAAGCTGAAAGGCCACAGCAGGGGTGCTGTGGTGCTAGGCCTCCACCAGTTGTGATTTATTTAATCCTTTTACAATGAGAGGGCCCTGGTAACCTATCCACTGAGCATTATTAAGCTTTGTCCTGCAACAGTAAGATTCTCTGTATCCTGCTCCATGGTGACTGAAAGAGCACATTCCTGCAGGGAGCCACAGAGAAATGGGAAAGTATTCTTGCTCTGCTTAGATCCACTCTGCTCACCACTAACTTGTGTTGTTTCCAGTAAAACCAGGGAAGTTGTTAATATGCTGTGCTGCCCCAGTTAAAAAGAAGGTCAAAGAAACAAGAAGTTATCAGTCCTTTGTCTCTGTTATCTCATAGTTTACAGTTGACTCTCTTCACAGTAACTATGGACTCATTGACATCATTTGAAAATACAGCTGTGGGCTTTGAAATATGACAGTGACTTGTCTCCTCTCCATAGAGCCCAGTAGACCTCACCATTTTTGACCCAGATGTAGAGCTCCCCTCTAGCCCTCCTCAGCGAAAGCCTTTGTCATGTCTGGGGACCAGTGATTTGGGCAGCTGTGAGCATGTATGAGCCAAGACAGCTGGTTATGTGAAGCAGGGAGAGGAAGGGAAACGGGGCCAGAATGTGTGAGACAGAGTAAGATTTGTCCTCCTGTTCCAGAGGATCTCCAGTCATTTCCTGGTGTTGTGAAACTATGCAAGGTCCTTGGTGTAACATGTTGCTCTGGAGCTTCAATAAGGGACTGGTGTTGTAGACTGCACCGTTGTCTGGGGGACGCTGCTTTTAACTACATACTAACAATTATGCTGTAAACTGAGTGAGTGCGTAAAGCACAAAGATACTTTTGCTTCCGTGCACTATCCACACTTGCTTTACACATGCTGTAGTTAAATTGCATCACTATTGCGATCCATCACTTTAGTGCTGTATAACTCTTTAATAAGCTCTATACTTGGAGCATGAGATGACTGATGCCTCAAAGGCAAACTCCACCTGCTGCTTTACTGGATTTGCCATATCATTTATGCCTCCCACTGTTCTAGCAATGATTTTATTTTTAAGGTAGATGACAAAGTAAATAAAAAGCACTGAATATAGTATATAAATTTGACAAACTAATTACAGGATAAGGCTGGTCATTTTCAAAAGTAACAGTATTGACAGCACTCCCCATACAGAGACTAAAACCAACAATGATTTGCCTCTACTCATTGTTAATGTCAGTCTTATTTGTCTGTGCCATAGACCTCTGGTGATGTTTAAAAACAGTTCAAAGCACAATAGAGAAAGACACCATCGCACTTAGTGACATATTTCCTCATTACAATACACAAGACCCTGATATTTGTTAAGAATATCTAGAGATCTCATGCTAGGCCCTTGACTCTTGCTTACTTCAGATGCTGTAAAACGTTATGGCCATTCAAAGCCTTTGGGGCAACATAAAAAAAAAATCAGGGTCTGGTGTTTTAGCGTGCCTTATCCTTTAAAGGATGGAAAACTGCACATTCATTGGATCATGTTTATGCAGCCTCATGCCACTTATTTCAGCTCCCACTCATGCAGAGACAGAATAGCAATAGTGTAGGTTTCACTCTGTGATCCCAGATATTATCATTACACCTTGTTTCTTGTTGAAAGTATCTCTGCTCTGTAGGTGATAGTGGAGGAGATAAATGTTACGATCCATGCTGCATAGAACGAACTTAGCTGATCTGAACTTACTCAGTAATTTTCCTCAGTGCATGGGGTTTTGTGCAGTTTGGGGTGACAATGCTCTTTATTGATACAGTAGTTGAGTAAATGTTTTTCAGCCCAAAGAAACATCTTTGTACTTGTTTAGTTTAAGTCATCACATGTAGTGAAGAGTCTAACTACAGTCTTGTGATTTTGGACCCATAACCAATCAGTTGGACTTTATTTTGACTTCACAGGTTTTCTTAGGGGCCAAACTAGTCAGTTCAACAGTATTATTCTGAAAAGGGCTTTGCTTGGTGCCCGTTCAGTAGGCTACATGTTTCAATGCTAATATATTATGTAACTGAAGCTCTGTTGAAGAACCTTTAATAAAAGTTTGGAGTACTGTTATGAGGTTTACACACTGTGGTTAAAATTTCTATAAGACTTTTCAGCTTTATTGTCCCATCTAAAACATTTTTAGAAAACACAAAGTAATAGTTTAAGGTAATTAAAATCCTTACATTACTTGTTACATTTCAACAGGTAAATAGTAATCTATATCCTGTTACATTTCAAAAGTATCCTTCACAACACTGGTATCAACATAATGTAGTTTCTCAACTCTGCTTATTCTTGTGTCAAGAGACTGCAACAGTTTAATTTCAGTATGGTTTATTAGACAGAGGCTTACGCGATTATTATATCAACATAACTGTGTAATAGCAATTAAGTAATCATTACATTTGGTTTAAGACGGAATAATAGTAGCAGTGCTGCTTGTAGTACACAGTGTGTTAATTCTCCAGCATCTTGGCAACTCCATCTCTGTGTGTCTTTCAAAAGCTGTCGGAAACATTGAAATGTAGTGCATGGCAACCAGGAAAAGAAGAAAGGCGTGCTGAGGTTAGGCTCATGAAAGCTTTGTGAGTAACAGTAAAGGGGATTAGTACAAATACACCAGTAACATGATGTACATTGAATTAGCTCTTTGTAGCACTACAGCATGTCAGGTGTTTTCTTCTTCTGGGCAGTAACGTTAGTGTGAAAATACTACAGGGCATCTGACCTTGGACATGGTAGCTTAGGGAGCTAAATGTGGCAGTAAAACCTCGTAGCTTTCTTTGTATTATCCTTGTGGTAATGTCTTTCTGAAGTCAAATACAGAGGGTGCAGGCGACCGCGAGAATCATTTTTGCTTTAATATATGAACTAAAGGTTGTTTGGGGCCATCCCCTACTCAACTGCTTTAAAAAAAAACACTCGGTTTTTAGAATTAACAACTGCCAGTTTCTATGTTTCCGGGAGCACGTGAAGGCAGCACATGTCCGGTTGTAAACCAATACGCTGAAGCGGAGCTCTCTGGATACTAGCTGACGGAGCACAGCAGTGAGCGAGGAGGGAAGTCTGCGGCGCTCTTCTTCTGGATTAGAATAAGGATAATCTTCTTCTGCTCGTGGTGTGTCAACTTTCCTCTTTTTAACGTTCTGACTTTAAGGAGACAGTCACTCACAGGTGACGTGCTATCGCTGTTTTCTACAGGTGTAGCTACTAATAGCCTAAGGTAGGTGGCACTTGTACTTCGGACTTTCCTGAAACCCTGTCATAAAGCCTCAAGGCAAGTGTGGCACGATGGGGCCAAGGTAAGAAAATACGTTTGACTTGTGTGAGGTTTAATTTTCATAGAAGAACCTGGCAGCCAGGGGCGGATTTACCGATTTGGGGCCCCAGGCACCCCGGGAGGCTTTATTCTCACTGTCTAATGGGAGTGTTATTGGTATTAGGGACATTGCCGGTTTATTTTTGCGCTTTCCTTTTAGGAATAAAATATATGAAAAAATACATAAGCAAAAACAGAAATGATTATTTTTTAATTAAAAATAAGCAGGCATAAATTTAAAATAGAGTGCAGGGAATGCTAATGAATGAATGGTATTTTGTACAAATAGTTATTGCTATTAAGGTAATTCTTTAAAGCAGGTTAAAGAAAGGTGAAGTGTGCATTTAAACATGTGGAACAAGGTAACTTCATCCTGACCAGGAGTGGTCAGGATCAGCAACGGCAGATATATATGCTTATTACTGTCCGTAAATAAAGTCTGAGCCTTTACTCTAGAAAGTCGGAATTATTTTTTGCTCACAGCAAGTTAAAATGTGATGATCTATTTTTTTTCCAATTTAGTTTAATTTCAAAGGCTCACAGTATTTGCTGTAGCAACATTATAGTGTGCATGGACATGTTCCCACACAGGAAGCTGATAATGAGAAGATTTCATTGTAAAGCTAATAAGCTTTTAGATGACTAGAATATAATTTGTTGTGCACACAGCATTTTAAAACAGCATTTGAAATTGTTTCAATGAAAATCAATTTGTAAATATGTGTAATTTCTCAGTTTGTCTATGTTATGGTTGTATCTGTTTTGGATGGCAGTGGAAGTAGTTATTTAGACTGCCTTTTTGTTTCTGTTAGCCAAACGCAAACTGCTAACTGCACCAAGGTGTTACTTCTCTCTTGCTCGCG